TATACTTGTACAAGCACTACTGGTCGCCTTCCTCCAACCAAAGTCACACACCGATCACAATGGAATCATGTGAGCCTTGGCGGCCACGTAGATTCTTCGAGTGTGGTCTGATTCTCCGTGACCACAAGAAATCGTCTACAAATCAGATGCTTCTGCGTTAATTCTCCCTCTTCTTTTCTGGCCGCATCTAACGGCTACCTGGATGCTTGGGCGTGACTTTTTTTGGCCAAGAGAGGCTCAGCATTGCAAAACTCGAAAATGGACAACCTCGTGCTCCCACTCGACCCGTGGTTCTCTCTTAACAGCCCTCCAGTCTTATGGCGAAGCCTGCTCGCGACTTTCTTCTCACAACTGCCCTGAACGATAACTTGTTGCAATTACTGAAACATCATTTTGGAGCCTGGCACCGATGCCCTCGGGGATTAAATGGCCCCCGCTACTATATTGCAACCGAAGCGTGATGAAGAACAGGCAATTAATAAAAACAACCCGTTTGCCTTCTCGCCAGAACAACTTTCGCAGCTTACGAACCCGAAAAGCCATGCCGCCCTCCTTGCATTAGGCGGGCTGGCAGCTCTGGAGAGGGGGCTGAAAACAGACCTCCGCGCTGGATTGAGCGTTGACGAGGAACACCCGACTGGACGTATCTCTCCAAAAGAGGCAATCCAGGCAGGAAACATCCTGCAAATGCAAGAATTGCCAAGCGCCCCAGAAATTCCACGTGAAGGAGGCGACAAAAAGTGCCATGGCTTCGTGGACCGCAAACGCGTGTTCGGCGAAAACGTGCTTCCGGAGAAAAAGCAAAAATCGATATGGAGGCTCGCCTGGATCGCAATGCACGACAAAGTACTGATCTTGTTGAGTGTTGCTGCTGTGGTGTCCCTTGCAGTAGGCCTGTACCAGACCTTCGGGCCCACACAGGAAGAAGGTGCGAGAGTAGAATGGGTAGAGGGAGTCGCCATCATCGTCGCCATCCTGATTGTTGTGGTTGTCGGCGCACTGAATGATTGGCAGAAAGAACGGCAGTTTGCAAAGCTCAACCGGAAAAGAGAAGACAGGCTCGTCAAGGTCGTCCGATCGGGCCAGGCGATGAAAGTTGGAATCCATGACATCCTGGTCGGAGATGTAATGGTGCTTGAACCAGGTGATGTTCTGCCTGTGGACGGCATCCTCATTGAGGGACATAACGTCAGCTGTGACGAAGCGTCCGCAACCGGGGAGTCTGATCTCATCAAGAAAACACCGGCGGAAAATGTTCTTGCATTCCAAGCAGAAAAAGGAGATGTAAAGAAGCTTGATCCGTTCATGATCTCTGGCACCAAAGTGTCCGAAGGTGTTGGTACCTTCCTAGTTACTGCTGTCGGCATACACTCGGGTTTTGGGCATACGATGGTATCCCTGCGTGAGGAGACGGATCTGACCCCCCTGCAGTTCAAGTTAAGTGCTCTCGCCGGTAGGTTCTGGATTTCTATGCGACTTACGGGACTCGGGCTGATATGACTGAAGGATACATTGCAAAGATTGGTACCGGTGCTGGACTGCTCTTGTTCGCTGTCCTCCTGATCGAGTTTCTAGCTAGACTCGGCACAGACGACCGAAGCGCTGATGAGAAGGCCCAACACTTCATGAATATTCTTGTCACGTCGATTACAATCATTGTAGTCGCTGTTCCTGAAGGCCTGCCGCTGGCGGTCACCCTCGCTCTGGCATTCGCGACAAAGAGGATGACGAAGGACAACAATCTAGTCCGACATCTTCAATCCTGCGAGACAATGGGAAATGCAACAGTTATCTGCTCAGACAAAACGGGAACATTGACCCAGAATGTCATGACTGTGGTAGCAGGGACAATAGGGGCTCGAGCGTTATCCTTCGGCGATCGCGACAAGGTCATGGAAGAGCCGACCTCCTCCTCGCCTGCAGCGCTCCATACGAGAGCTACAGACCGAAATCACCTATCCCATACAGCCGCAGTGGCAAGGCTACCTGGAGCTCGAGCTACAGGTTTACAAGATTCCGAGAACAGCGCCCTGCCAATACTTCCTCCACAGCTACGGGAACTACTAAAGCAGTCGATTGCCCTCAACACCACCGCGTTCGAAGGGATTGAAAAAGGGGCACCGACCTATATAGGATCTAAAACCGAAACTGCCCTCCTCGACTGGGCGAAGCGGAACTTCGCCCTGGGACCACTCAGCGTCGAGAGGTCGAACTACCCTATCGTGGAGCTGTACCCATTTGACTCTCGCCGCAAATACATGGGTGTTGTGGTCAAGACCTCAAGTGACAAGTACCTCCTGTTTGTCAAAGGGGCCCCGGAGATCGTACTGGAACGGTGCGGCACAGTGCTTAGCGAGCCTTTGGATCAGCTTGGGCATGCTCCCCTGGAGACTGCTCAAAGGAAGACACTCACGGATGTTATATCCACATATGCGTCCCGCTCCTTGCGGACCATGGCAATCGCCTACCGCGAGTTTGACCAGTGGCCGCCACCAACGAGAGCGAGCTCAAATCCGGACTTTCCCGAGCAGCCACAAGCATCAGATGTCTTTGAGCAAATGACTCTCTTGTGCGTCGTCGGAATCCAGGACCCAGTCCGTGATGGCGTACCTGCGGCAGTGAAAGATTGCCAGCGTGCGTCAGTAGCTGTGAAAATGGTGACGGGCGATAACATCGAAACAGCCAGAGCCATTGCCAAGGAATGTGGCATTCTCAAGGATGACGGCATGGTGATGGAAGGAACTCAATTCCGCAACCTTGACAAGCGCGAGCTACAATCAGCAGCGAAGGGTCTTTGTGTCCTTGCGCGGTCCAGTCCAGACGATAAACGTATCTTAGTCAAAGCTCTGAAGGGGCTCGGGGAAGTGGTCGCAGTGACGGGAGACGGTACGAACGATGCGGCAGCACTAAGGGCCGCCGACGTCGGGTTTTCAATGGGCATTACAGGGACTGAAGTCGCCAAGGAAGCCTCCGACATAATCCTCATGGATGACAATTTCTCATCCATCGTTAAGGCATTAGCCTGGGGCCGCACGGTGAACGACTCCGTGAAAAAATTCCTTCAGTTTCAAATCACTGTTAACATCACGGCCGTTATACTCACTTTTGTCTCAGCGGTTTCGAACAACGACGAAAAATCCGTCCTTACTGCGGTTCAGTTGCTTTGGGTCAACCTAATCATGGACACCTTTGCCGCGTTGGCTCTCGCTACAGATCCACCAAACTATACCGTCCTAGACAGGAAGCCCGAACCCAGATCTACACCGTTAATCAACGTCACAATGTGGAAGATGATCATGGGCCAGTCACTCTATCAACTCACGGTTACATTCATCCTCTACTTCGCCGGGCCGGATTTCCTGCAGTATCCTACCGACGAGCAGAGGACCTTAGTCTTCAATGTCTTCGTGTGGATGCAGATCTTCAAACTTGTCAACAGTAGGCGCATCGACAACAAACTCAATATCTTCGAAGGTTTGCACAAAAATTGGCTGTTCATGCTGATGTTCACCATTATGGGTGTTGGCCAGTTGGTGATCGTGTTCGTTGGTGGAGATGCATTCGTGGTGACAAGGCTGAATGGCGTCCAATGGGCTATTTCTCTAGTCTTGGGCTTCATGTCCATTCCGGTGGGCATTGTGATCCGACTTCTCCCTGATGCTGTGGCAGGCACAATCATCCAGTGGGCTGGTGAATTGTGGCGGTGGCTGGTGCCAGAAGCGATCAGGAAGCGGAAATCGAGATCAAGAGGCCTGCTTCCAGTCGACGAGGCTGACAACGTGTTTCTCAATGTCCAAGAAGGTCTGGCTTTCCTGAAACGAATCCGTGGTGGTCGAATTCGCTTGTTGGGCCAAGGCATCAAACATCCCGTCGATCTGATGCGTCGCGCATCAGTAGAATCAGCGTCGTCAATTCCGCCGATGCATGCTGCGATTGCCATGCCAGGCATTTTGGCAGCCGGCCCTGGAGGATTGTCACCATGCCGGCCTCGATCGTCCCAGTCGGAGAGTTCCGAGTCTTGTCCAGTTTCTGCTGACAACCGATCCGGTAGAGGAATCTAACTCGCTGGAGAAGTGGAAAGCTCTGATGCAATGCCAGAGAACCTGTGGCGAGTGCTTCAGCTTCATTTCGGTTCTTTTCTACAAGGACGGTAAACATGCTTCCCAAGCTTGTCGCTGTATTGTGCCTGTTATCAGAGATGGGAATATAGAGGGCTAGGCATTATATTTTTAGAACGAGTGATTCAACGGCTCGACGAGCTTACATTCAGTTACTCGGAAAGAGATATGCGAATTGACCTACCAATGCGAATCTAGAAGAGGACAAAGATTCAACCTACAAAATACCTTTCAGACGCCGTCCCTTGCTCTTTTCGCAATCTCAACGCCAAAAGCATACAACCACCGCGGCAGCGACGTTGCGGAGTCGTCAGTATCGTCAACAACGGCCTGCTAGTTAGGACTCCGATTGTTACAATTGTGTGCTTGACAAATAGCCTCCGAAAACATCGATCAGCGGGTCGAGAGTTATGGGATTTTTAGGCTTGGAGCTATCGGGGCCAGCTGCCTGCGTCGCCCAGATCGCCCTACAATCTTATAGAACTGGAAGTCTGTGCAGGCTGGTGGATATTACCAACGTTACCGACCGCTAGGCAATAGCCCATCACTCCGGTTCTGGTCTGGTTACGGGGAGTCTACACTATTACAGAAGACTATCGATGGTTACATTTCAAGCAGAAGAACTCTTGCTATGGAGTACCTTGTATCCTCTAGCAACATGTCACACCCGCGAAACCCGAAGGGTCGAATGGAAAGTGTCGAGAGGCAGTCTTCGATTGCAGAACAGAGCAAAATGTAACTCTCTGGTTTGAACCAAGCCATTGTAATCCGCCGTCGAACCGTATGATTCATGATCACGTTCAATACATCATCCCCCGGGGTCATGCGCAAGTATGAGAACGCCGTGCTCCTGACAATCACTGATGTCTGATACTGTGCAGTTTAACAGCACTTGTTACCTTTGGCATCTGGGGCTCCTGAAGGAGTCATGTCAATCTTCACACCGCCAGTTGGTGCCTGCGCTGCGTCGCCGTTGTCAAGAGCCTTGCTCGAGACGATCCGATAGATTTCTGCACGGAGGATCAGCACTTGTCGTCAAAGGGTCGCAACCATGTCTCACCTGTTAGGATATTCTGGAATGCCAGTTCGACGTTGCTCGCATCCAGCGCTGAAGTCTCGATAAACGAGAGATTGTTTTCACCTGTTCCTGGGTCAGCTCAACGAACATAGCCGCGGCACCAGGTGGATACCTACTGGCGAATTGTTTGGCTTCTTCTGTAGGAACAGCACGTAGATGTCGTAGATCACTCTTATTTCCAACTAGCATGATGACAATGTTGGCATCCGCGTGATCCCGCAGCTCTTTCAACCATCTCGTGACATTGTCATAGGTCTGATGCTTGCTGATATCGTAGACCAAGAGGGCACCGACTGCTCCTCGGTAGTAGGCAGACGTGATAGCACGATATCTCTCCTGTCCCGCCGTGTCCCAGATCTGTGCCTTGATCGTCTTTGTGTCCACTTGGATGGATCTGGTCGCAAACTCGACACCGATGGTGGATTTTGAATCTAGATTGAACTCGTTGCGAGTGAAACGACTCAGCAAGTTTGATTTGCCGACGCCTGAGTCTCCGATCAAAACGACCTTGAAGAGGAAATCGTACTCGTCGTTCGCCATGACCAACAGGATAGGGTGAGCCTTGATCACACCGAAAAAGTGGATGCGATGAAATTGGGGATTCGGTCGCGTCCAGCACAAACTCGATGAAACGGCACGCTCTCTAAAGTCTCGCACTGGCCTCAGAGGGTGGAGGTGCCAATGCAGCGTGGAAGTGGTGATATTAAGGTCTACGTAGGAAGTTGAATGATTGACTGCGAGGTCAAGGAGGATGATCCCAAGGAGCAGCCTGCGGATCATCTTGGCGCTCACGTGATAAAATCCCTTCGGTTGAATTTCACTTGTGGTTCATCGCCCAGATTCCCCCAATGTTTCGTGTCGACTTGGGATTTGCACTTTCTATGGAGTTGAAGATAACTAACATGCATTTTTTTTTTGCCGAGTTCCAGTCTTTAAAGAGCTGAAATGAACAACAGACCGTTAACTTATGTTTCAAAAGGAGTATCCGCTGTGGTGTAAGCGGTTTGTACTAGCCCTTGACTTGCACTTGACTACCGGGGCTTCCACCTCTTCGCCAATGACTGACTTCAGGTCGTGTGATTCATTCCCATTTGCATCTTATTCGCACTTCTGCTTCGAGGCTAAGAAAGCAATATGGACGATAGCAACGTGGATGACGACAGTGACATTTACAACCTCGAGAGGATACTCTATCAGCGTGAGGTCAATGGAAAACCTATGTTTCTCACCAAGTGGGAGGGATATGGGGATGCCGAATGTACTTGGGAGCCTTCTGAGCACTTTTCAGAGGACATTCTCGCCGAATGGGAACAGCAGCGTGACAGTGGTGATTTCCTACCCCCAGAACAGGTTGCTGAGGTTGAGGAGCGAATGGAGGCTTTCCAACAACGAGAAGAACAAAAACAACTCCAGGAAACCCGTGGGAGGGCATCGAGCCAAAACCCCGGCCGGCAGGCAAAGTCTGAGCCCGCAGCGCCTCGATCCCCCATTAAGCGGTTACGAGTGTCTCCCCCAACTCCAAACCGGCACAGCTCTAAGCGAACGCACAGTTCTCGTTCAGCGACTGTGAATGAGGAGGCTCCAGAACATTCGGAAGTCGCAGTGCAGGGTACTGCAGAACAGACAAGTCTACAGAAGCCTAAGATAGCCAACGCAGGATCCGCCCAGGTGACGCCAAAGCAAGTCAACGCAAAGCCATTTCCCGGGGCAAAAGGAACGACAGAAACCACCGCCACGCCTTTTCTCCACGCTTTAACGCAAGGCAATGCTATTTTGTCCCCAGCCTTGACAGGGCAGCAGGGGGGAGAAAATGTTAACGCGATTCAAGCATCCAAGAAAAACAAAACTAACGCAATCCCTACCCCGAGATCCCAACAGACCAAGCGAGACGCGGTCAATACCCTGCCTATTGGAATACAGTCGGAGGGTACTCATGCTGTGCCGATAGCAAAAATTCCAGGAAAAAACAAGGCAAGACAAAGATTCAGAAATCTGAAAGAACAGAATATGTTTTCCAAATTCGCGCGTTGGGAACGCCCACCAGATATATCAAAGCTCGATCTGAGATCACCAGATGAATGGGCAATGCTTGGAAGCATTCAACCTGTTCCAAAAGTTCAAGATGTTGCTCAAAGAGATGAGGCCAGGCATTCTCCATTGTTTGTCCCTGGAGACCACGAGATGGAACAGCCCAAGGTAGAGAATCTACCAACACAGAAAGAAAATCTCCATAGTTCCAAAAAGAACCTGTTAAGCGAGTTACCACCGCCAGCTTTAGGGGCTCCGCCAGGCAGTCCAAACGCATCCGAGGTACCAGAGAAGGCAGCTGTAAATGGGGGCGCATCAGAAACGCCTAGAGAAAACATATTTACTAGGAAATCAGTGCCAATTATTCGGGCCAAGTCACGGGATTCAATACCATCGAATGCATTCGCTGAGAGTCGGCCACCCTCATTACAGCCACGCTCGAACTGCGTAATTGTCCCGCCAGCGCCAGAGCATGATGATGTCGTCGTACATTCGAGGCCCGTTAACATATCAACTTTTCAGCCACGAGTCGCCGATGTTTCCTTCACCCATGGCTCCTCCAAAGAGGCCATGGCTCCGGCGCCTGGTGGATTGCCTTCGAGGACCACATATCAAGGGAAGACAGGAAATCTTGATGTCATTATAAGGGCTGGAAACCATGAGATAGGAACTGTGACATTAGTCGAGCTACCGCTTTGGTTGATCGGCAAGCTGAGAGGTGCAAGAGAGCCAGGAGCGCTCCTCTTGACTATTCATTTCAAGGACAAGTGGGCCATGAACGCGCAGGAATTTTCTGACTTCTCTCGAAAGGTAAGTTTCAAAATCCCAATATTAAGTACATGCCTTACTAATGACCAAAGCTACACCCGAAGAATATCGGGAACTTCTCGATCCAGGCTCATGATAATACTCTGGGTGCAACTGAAGATCTAAGCAAATATTTAGAGGAGTATGATTTGGGTGCCATCTGGGAATACCCTCAACCTCTGGATAGTCTTATTTTGATCTTGTACTCGAGTCGAGCTTCTGGATGGAGAAGCATCAGAGAGGGAACAGTCAGCACCCTGGAAACTCGATTGCAGTTTGCTGTCCGCAATAAGCTACCTGGAATCTTTCTGGAGAATGATCCAGGAAGGGCTGATTATATCCCATTCGGCACTGGCGAGCAGAATACAGACCTGCCCGGACGTCAGGCCGAATCTTCACAACCTGAACATCGATTAGTCATGGGAGACCGGGCACGCGCTCGGGTGCAGAGCCCAGTCGAGCTATCGGAATCCGCGCCAACACCGACAACGACAATAGCAAAGGAAAGTGCAGATTCAGCGCGCTCCGATGTGAAGAGTCCAGACGAGCTATCGGCATCGGCCCCTACAGCAACAACGATAACGGCGAAAGAACGCTCAGGTTCAGCGGAGACTACGGTGCCTACCAGCCAATTGGCCCCATCTCAAGACTCGATGGATTACATGACTCCAAAACCATATAGGGTAGGCCCGTTATCCTTCTCGGCCAAGTTCGATGACTTGTTCTGTGGGTGGGATAAAACACAACGCAAGCCACGGGTAATGATATGCTTTGGGAAGACTAACCAAGCCGAAGCCGAAGCTGTAAGGCAATGGCTGTATAAATATCTGAGCCCGCGTAAGGTTTTCATGGATACGGAGGAGGACGACTGGGAAGAATTTCAGGACAACCTCTCCAACAGAACTGGTGTTGTATTATTCCATGAGCAGCAAAGGGCATATTGCGATCTTCGCGATTTCTGTAAAATCCTCCGACTTGCATCTGTTTTCTGTCACGAAATCTCGTCCTCATTCCACCAGATGAAAGACTCCAACCTTGATCGCAGAAGCCCAATGACGAGACTCTTCCCACGCGGAACTGTTTTGTGTATCACGGAAAGCACCCTGGTTCGTCACCCGGAAGAAGCAATCTGGGCAATCCACTGGTTCGAAAAGAAGTCGATAAACAAACAGCGATTCTGGAAGCTCTTTCTTCTACCGGACATGTCTTCATGGATCCTGCGGCGGGCAAAGGACAGCCATGGCGTGACGCAGCAGAAGTTCGTTTCGCCTCCTTTTTACGAACAGACAGTGCTAACCTCCATTAGGTACATTGACATGTCGCTAGCCTTGAATCGACTACAATCGCGATCATTGGAGGCGTCACGGAGCAACGGAGGCCGGAGTGACGACCCCGACGAATTCGTTCAGACCCGGCCCTGGAATCAGAGCTCTGAGTACATTCTGTCGCCCTCTGGATTAGCTGGCTTTGGGGATTGGGACCGCGCTGACTTGGGTGAAGAGGCTGTGACGGCGCGGGACAAGAGTTTCCTCGGATATTTCGTCGCGTGGGCAGCAAGAAATGCGACTCTATATCGAAGATTCATTGTCCAGGACAAGACCCACAGCAACGAAACAGAAAAACATTCATGGCACATTCTCTTTCGGGAGCCCAGACAGTTCGTGGAAGAGGAGAAGCGGCAGCAGGATCGGGAGGATGAGAAGGAGCGGGAGGACGAGAGGCGGCGAGCCCGGACTGGCTCCTCCTCCTACCTAGCCTCATGATCCAAGACGGGCACATTCTCTCCTTTCTACAAAGAGGGGTGCTCTCCAATGTATTCTATGCTCCCATTTGGGGCGAGCGAAGGCGCTCGATAGGTATGGGTCCCTATTAATGATGTACGAGTAGACGGGTGGGGTTTTTAATGCTCAAGGGCTTGAGGGCAAGCAATGACTGCGGCATATTCAGTGTCATTCAATACTGGACACGGCATGAACCCAAGTGCGGAATATGTATCGCTAATCCAACTCCGTTTGGCGGGGGTGGTGGATGGCATCTTCTAGCTAGTACAATGGTGGTATAATTATCGGCCGTTCAAATCTGGTTCCTGTTCGTCTCGGAAGACAGCATCACGTCTCGTAAAAGTCTGCAAGCGGCCTCCCCACTGAGGATGGTTTATACTTCGTACTTGCGCTCCGCTTCTGCGCATAGTGACCCTCCGGCTTGCATATGCCTGTCTCTGGCTGTCCGCCAGGCCGAGTACACAAGAAAGAGGGGAAGTCATGTGAGTAACAAGCGTTCCACAACCAAGCTCGTTCATGCTATGCAGTTTCGAGCTGATACTGAGAATTTCTAGCAATTAGCGACTTGTAGTAATCCACCAAGACCTCCGGTTTAGGCACAATGCGCCACTCCATTCTGGTGAGAAACTCAAGTTCCAGCAGCGCGAGCTCCTTCATACTGACGCCGCCCACTCGGGCATATGTTTTGTTAGTCCAGAACGAGTCGCTCAGGCCTTTGCTTGCGACCGTGGCGCTCGTTATGAGAAATCGATGGACAGTGAGGGAGCTGATGGTGAAGGCCGGATAGAGCGCGCAGAGGCGATCGATGTAATAGACGACACTGAGCAATATCGGTGGAGATAGTGTGGCGTGAGTGGTCAATCGTTGGAGGTAGTCGAGGACTGAGATGCCTGGAGGGGCCCGTGAATGGAAGCGGGTGAGCTG